GAAATCCAGATATTAAACATTATGTCTGCCCCACAAGAAAAACATCTGATATACTCCTGCTCCTGAAACCACTGCGATTGCGAGCAGCATTTCTTGAACCAGTTCAGCTCACTATGATCGACAGCACATTGTACATTATGACTCGCAACCACTGGCGGGTAGTAATGTAGAATATGTACTATTTTTATTTTGATAGATTATGTATCAATCGTGATTCCGTTTCACACACACAACGTTCAGTCAATGTGTACCAGCGCATCTAGGGTTTAAACCACGGAGTGTTTCTCGCGTGAAAGACGTGCTTCCTACCAGGGAGGCAATTAATTAACCAGAGGCCGGTTCAAGCCACTGTCAATTGAAAAATAGTCTGTCATGTTCGAACGACGCTCCAATTTCGCGGTGGCCAACTTTAATGATGTCCGGCTTCATGACCACCTCTATCCCATGGAGACCTCGTGAGATTCGCAATCGGAAATTTTAGAGCTTAGGCTGAGTCTAACCCCTCAAACTAGTAATATATGTGCCACTNACTTATGAGTTGAAAATTTGAGAAAATTCCCCCAATAATTATGGTTTGAGACAATGGGCAATATGACCACGTATCCCGTAGGACGGCACACATGGTCATCCCTCGGACTCGTAATCAGTTAACATTTCCTTTGTTTTGCCGTGAACCAGGTTATATTAAACTGAATAACTTTTTCTAGCCTGAACAACGGAGGGAGGCCATTCAGTGGTTGATGTTTGGCAACATAAATTCGGTTTGTAATAAATAAAGTGAGCTACACAGTTAATTCCGTATGCAAATTTGAGCAAAAACGTTTATTTTTTGTGTCGAGCGTTTACAATGCGTGATACAGCGTATTCCGCTCCACCAGCTCAAATCACAGTCAGCGGGGGTGGGAGGATTGAAAAGCATGCCTACCTGAACGAAATCAGCTCCGCAGTTGTTATTCAACCAATCGAGTTGTTTGGTTTGTGTGTTGTATAGGTGCAGTTCAAACGGACAGCCCTGCTGAGCCAATTCGTGACGAAACTGATCCAGCACGATACTACCGACCCCATTGGCGCAGTCCACATTGACGAGCATTGGTGAAACGACGACCGATTGCTTTTTCCGCACCAGATCCTTCATGCCACGGGAAAAACAGCTTGCAAACCGCTGCACATAAATTTGTCGCAGATCTGGCAGCGCTGGCTCGGCATCAATGGTTAAATTCTGTTGTTGTTTTATTGAGAGAAAGGAACGACAATAAAGTCCAATAATATGATGAAAGAGTAGCAAAGAACTGACAGAGAGAGAGAGAGAATGATTGGTAACGGTACGTGACGCGTAGGTAATAGATCAGGTAACGTCGGGCAACCAGTGCTTATTAATTTCCGTGATAATAAACACTTTTGAAAGTATTATGGTTCTTCGATGTGTTGTAAGGCTGTAATGAGTGGATAAGCGGACAAATTTCAACAAACAAATTATAATTATAGATTACATTACTACCTCAATTACGACTGATTGGTATCTGTCTATTGGCCGAACGAGAAATGGTTTACTCAACTTCCGAATCGGGCTACGTTGGAAGTCACGTTTGTCAAATTAAGACTATCTGTGTTAAAGTACATGTGGCAATCACTCGATCAAATGCAGTGCCAGAGGAAAATGGGGGCGGGCTCATCCAAATACCACAACCTAAATTACCAACCCAGTCACCGATTGTATAGCTCGAGTGAAGGTTTCGATCCCCAAATGGAAGTTCCGTCGTTCCAGAGCAGGTAAAAATGCAAACAGTACGCACTGAAGAAAAGTCCGTAAAAGGACATAGCAGCTGTCCGATGTGGTCTATGAGCACCAATACAACGATAAAACCACTGCAAAAAATTCTACCGTTTTCAATATATATGCTGGTAATGTTCACCTTCGAACCACCGTGCATATTGGCCTTTATGGTATGTAACGTGCATGAACGCGGTCGATTTAGCTTACGTGTTATCAAACCAAAGAGGTGTGGGACACGACAATTTCGCGCGCTTTCACTCAGTTTGTANNGTTTGTAAGGCACATTTATGCAATCGTGTCGCAATGAAGGATTCAATCAGAGAGCTAGTCATGGGAATTACATCACCATGTAGGGTAAGGTGAATTATCGAACCAAAAAACATGCTAAGAAGGTAGACTGATCAAGAGGAAAGGGCGGGTGATGGGGAAAGGATAGAACTATCATAAAAAAAGTATTTGGTGCGTGATGTAACAATTACCACAGCAAAAAAGTGGACTGATAATTCTTTTGGAGGACATTCATCTTTCCACTCGTTCGACAAGCAAGATGGAAGGCTGTAACCTGAAGGCTTCCCAATAGAATAAGAGCGTTTATATCTGATTGGAAATAGTCTCACTCAGCAGGTTACAAAAACAGTTCGGTGACGAGAATATTTCAGCGGGAACTGTATCTGAGATTCATTGATTACACATTGAACGAATGCACTGTTGACCATAAGCCGTCGAAAATCAATTCCCATTCTTCTATGCATAGTGCACACCCAAACACACTAATAGAGAATTAGGTTTGTGCGTTTCGAGAGGCAGCGCTATAAATTTGAATAAACGCGTATTGGAATCAAGAGCAATTGAGGTCGTCTCTTGCACTTCACGTTCAGTAGATCACCAGGGGGATAAAACATTCACACTTCAATTGCCCACCTCAGCAAGGAACCCGAAACCCGGTTGGAGAACATGGGCAAGACCCAGCCATTTCTCCTCCACGCAATTCATCCTAATGAATGTCATCCAGAGTCAGATGGAACTGAACAACCTCAAACAGATCACAAATTTGAGTCATGTCTTTTCAGTCTGGGAGAGAAGAAACAGAGGCATAAATCATTGCCGCACAACAGATAACGGATTGGGAAAATACGCCCCAAAGGGATCATGAAAAACTGAACTGTGATATAAAACTCTCTAAATGTGTCGCTTAATTTCTACAGATGGTCCAACTGACAAATGAATTTCGAGCGCATTGAAATATTAGAACGGAGGTGTATCGCATTCGAAAGTAAAATAACGGCCACATTATTTGATGAGTAACAATAGGAAGTAAACGAACTGTCTACTTAAAACTTTGGAATACTGTGCTCGAGTAAACTCATTCGTGTTTGACAGACAACGGGCATGATTGTGTTGAACTGTCGCAGGGTTTGCCCTACCCTTTACAATGACACCTGGTATTTGAGTTTTGTAAGCGCCACATTTCAACGTAACTGCTTGAGGTATCAGTGTTTTGTGCGAGCCGGGACTCATTCGCAATGCGGTCAATTTTAGTCCCCGTCGGGACTCAAAACTCTAACCTCGGAGCTAAATGGTGAACGGTCAACACTTGTCTTGTTCTGTCCATGAGAACTTGCAAACCCCGGAGTCTGCGTGTGGGTGGATTTCACCTTCCAAACGTTGATAAAGTTTATCTGCGATAGAATGGTGGTTCATGAACAGGACAAATAGCGGGCGAGGAGCCGAAAAAATTCGCGTAGAGCGAGACCCATAAAAGAACACGATTCACCGAGTCTGGAGTTTAGAGCGTAACTGTTGTGTCCGAATCCCGATTGATCACAATGTACACACAACAAGATATCACACGATGACACACGAGGAACACACGTACCTCAAAGGCCACACTAGTCGTCTAGCCCCACGAGTACGATCACAGCACAGATTGGACGCCACGAGCACTAGTAGCCTTCTCCCAGCTACGTAAACAAGAACACAGTTAGTGCACAGCGAACGTGTACTTGACAAACAGGAAGCAAGTCAATTTACAAGTTTTACTCTGATGCTTATATGTGACTCAAAATAGCATCGATTAATGCAAGAAAAAGATTGTGCCAATCAAGTACACAGTTAGCAAAGTTCAATCGGTCATAGGTCACGGATCAGACGGACGGAGTGCATGTTTCCGTATGACGCAATATCATTGATTAATCTCCACGAGATTAGTGTTGATTCGAGATGCCCCTGATTGAAAATACTCGAAAAATAGGCATTTTCAGGAAAAGTCTTTTTAACTAACAGTAACGGGGACAAGATAGGAAAAAGATTAATTCACCGTATACATTTGTTTTGCAATGTAAGGATCGTACTCAATGCTTACGCGCCAAACATGCAATGACTCGAATCAAGGCGTTGAGGGGTGCGAGAGGGAGTGAATTTCCGGGCAATTATGAAGATAAATTCGCTGTATACCTGACTTTCCGTCAACATCTCGGAATTTAATGTCAAACTCTCTACTTTACGTTGAAAAGTTACCGGTATTATTCAGTCAAAGATCGATAATATGATGTGTGTTTTCTGCTCCTTTATTCTAACGGGTGGTCAAGAGATAGCAACCAAGACAGACGCACGAAAGTGCATGCTCAACGGCTGTAAAAATTGAATAGCCATCCTTCCCGTATCAGCGGTAAAGTTTAGGCTATTGACGGCGTGATTCAAATCAGTTTAGCTTTGCAAAATCTGATTAAAACGTGATTTGTTTGTGATAAAGTNTGAGCGAGCGGGTTAGTAAGAATGAGGCAAGCTGCCATTTAGTCAGGAGTGTTTTACACTAAATTCGGATGATAAGGGTTTGTTTGTTATCCACATGGGTGCACAACATACTTCGCGGTAGTTTACATCGACGAAGAAGATTGTCTTTTGGAACCCTGA